ACAGCAGCAACAGTCAATGTGATAAAACTCATTGAGACGTCGTCCCACGGCTATGGTTGTATTCACGTAAACCTCTGTGCCTGCTCTGTGCGTAGACAGCACACAAAGAGGTGTGAAAGAACGTGCGTGTATTCATTTCACCACCTAGTGAGTGAGTTTGTACTGACTTCTCCTGCATTTTACTTTATTATTTGTTTGTTTTTTTTCTTACAAAGGACAGGTGTCCCTTTTTTATAAGACAGCCACATTATTTTTCACAGTTTGTTTAATATATATTTCTATGATTTCTGTAACAATGGTTTAATACGCCTTTTTCTTAACCGTCCAGGAACACCAGCCCCTCCCTGGCCTCCACATCACTGCGTGTTGGCTGGCAATTTCAGCGCTAATGAAAGTGTCATGTCACTTTGTTGATGCGTTGAATTTTCCCATTTGGGAAAGACAGTCTTTTGGCCGTGTCTGTATCTCCAGCACACTGCCTGGCACGTAATAGGTTCTCAATAATGACTCGATGAATGAGTGAAAGTCAGGAAGATTAAACAAATATCCATAAGCTCCAAACATAGAGCTCTGGGGTTTTAAGTTTGTGATTTTATAAATGAAATCTATTTAAAACAATTAATGAGACCTGTTTATTATAGGTCCTCTCGAAAGAAGTTTTTTTTTAAAAAAAGCTGCCTTCAGGAGGATGCAGGGCTGGAAGAAACCACCTGAGACCAGGAGGAGCCAGCGTCTCCAGTGTTCAACCAAGCCAAGGCACTAGGGTGTGGTACAGACTGACCTGCCCCACGTGCTCAACTAACATCCGTACATTAGTGACCAAGTATTTCACATCGATGAAGTGGAGTAGAATTCATGACATTGAAGTATGCAATTTTGAGATGTTTGACAGGCAATTCAAGTCACGAATGAATGGAAAGTAGGAAATTAGTCTGCATTCTAGTTTCACTTGACCCTCCCTTGGGTCACACCTAATCCATTACCAATTACCCTATTGTTATCAGTGACACTGATTTGGTCCCCAGACATTTGAACTTCTGGTCAGGTGATGCTCCATAAGAAAAGTAGAAATGCTTTTGCTCCAATATTAAAACGACTACCCTGAAGGCAACACGGACACAGGAAGCCTTGTCGAGTGTGAGGCATCCTCCTGTCTGTGCACAGATCTAAAGAAGGGAGGGGGTGAGCTATGCAGTCCTCAGCACATGCTCTCTGCAAGCAAGCCAGGGCTCTGACTTCTGACCTATGTCAGACACTCAGAGAAGGGAGCTTCACAACGTTCCTGGAAAAATGGAATGAGAATTTTCCTACGAGTTTTTAAAACTGTTTTGTTGGCATAACTCACAAATCATACAATTCTGCAGCTCAATCATCTTAACTAGAGTTGGACAATCATTGCCACACTCAACTTTAGAACATTGTCTTCCTTCTTGTGCTCACTGTTATTAGCACCCCATTTCCCCCAAACGCCCCTGCCCACCCCTCTAGGAACCGTTCACCCAGTTACCGGACCATCTGGATAGCTTTACCTATCCTGGATTTCTTATACAGAAAAAGGTGCAAAAACAAAAGACTGGGAAAAAAATTCTTTAACAACAATTACAAAATAAAACAGAGAAAAATTTCAATGGAAACTAAAACAGAAAATATTAAAAATGAGAACAAATGTAAAATGGGTCAGCAGGGAGATCAAATGATTAGGTGTCAAATTTCCCATGAGCTTTTGAAGCCCCCTCGTGTTCCCAGTTGCTCCAACAACTCACAGTATTGATCAGAAAACGTAACTAGCTGCTCTGCTACATTGCTCCTGCCTCTGGCATTCTGAAAATGTATTACCATCTTGAACTGCCCGGAGGTCCCAGGAGCCACCTTCTTCCTCGGCTGGTGGTGGTTAGTCCACACTTTGAAGTGAAATTTAAATATATTTGCATGCCACGATAAAACTCAAGGTTGTGCATTAAGTAATTACACATGTCATGAACCCAAGGTACCGAGCTTATTAAAGCGAGGGGATTTTGCTTATTGGGAACCTATACCCTTAACTTCTTGCTCACACCTGCATTGACTCACATATCTCTGCTCAGCTACTCAGGGCAATGGGACCTGTGGGAGCAGGCATAGACCTGGATGTCTGCCGCCACGCCACCCACACCAAACCAAACTCAATGTCACTGAGTCCATCTTGGCTCATGATGACCGTACAGGGAAGGGTAGAAATGCCATGTGGGCTTCCAAGATTGTCACTCTTAATGGGAGTAGAAAGCCTCATCTTTCTCTCACAGAGTGGCCAGTGGTTTTGAACTGCTGACCTCATAGTTAGCTGCTCAATGCGTAACCAACACACAACCAGGGCTCCTCCTCAGCTCCAAAGGAGGGTCCCATGGTTACTTCTATACTGTCCTGGGGCCTTCACGTTCATTGTAAATATAGCATATACTTTCACATTGATGGGGTTTTCTGCTGGATCAGCTGCTAGATGTCCAGTTACTGAGACATCACTGCTAACTTTTTAAATTCAATTGTCTAAAGCTCTCTGTCATTTAAGGGTCATTTAGACCCCACCCAAACCAAAGCCCCTGCCACCAGTTCCGACTCATAGTGACCCCATGTAGGCTTTCCAAGGTGCTGCCAATCCTAACAGGAGCAGACAGCCTCATCTTTCTCCTGCAGGGTGGTTGGAGGGTTCGAATTGCTGACCATGCACTTAGCATGCTCCAAGACCCCTTAAATTTTGGCATGAAAACAAATGACCTGGAGACTTTTATTAAATTCTAGGTTTAGAACCAGTGGGCCTGGGGAAGTATCAAAGACCATTCCTTTTTTTTTTTTTAACATTTTATTAGGGGCTCATACAACTGTTATCCCAATCCATACACACATCAATTGTGTAAAGCGCATTTGTACATCGTTTCTCAAAACATTTTCTCTCCATTTAAACGACCCTGCCTTTTTAAGGAGCTCCCAGGTGACAGCAGGGCAGTCGGTGCTGGGCCTCACGTGGAGTAATCTAGGGCATGGCCGGAACCCTGAGGGCCCGCCCACCACCCATCACTCAGTATTACATAGCGAGTTTCCTCCCTGGGTAATTTCAATGAAAAGGAACTACTCATTTATAATGGGCAATCACAAAACTCACTTGTCAGTCGTCCAGTTTCGGGGTCTCTTTCCATTTTCCAGTCTGTGTAGATTACTTCACCTTCCTAAAAATATGGTAGGTTCCTCATGAGTAGAATGGCAACTTCCAGGACAAAAGACCTCACCTTGATGTGTTATTAGTGACAAATCATGCCAGCACAGGACAACTGGTCAATGTCACCAAATTAAAATTCAATACACTGAGGGGCGAGGCTCAAACTGAGCACATCAAACACCCCGAGTTTGCTGTCTTTTGATCTGCACACAGTACCATGGAGATCATGGGCAATTATGGGGCTCATCTAGCTTGAGTGTAGAGTTCTAAGTGCTGAGTTTCTAACATTTTTGTTTCAACAGAAATTGCCCCAATCCATGCAGGATCAGCCTAACCTTCCTGAGTGGTTTGTTCTCAGCATGCGACGCAATCAGTATTCAAAGAACATGGCTGGAGTCCGAGAGAATGAGGGAATGTTGATGCATACGGTGCTATTCAGTACCTTTGAAAGTCGAGAGCAGGAAACAAGGTTCTAGGAAAGCAAGATAGTAAGTACAACATATGACAGCTGTCCTGGGCCCTCTGAAGGACGGGGTGGCAGGGGCACCTGATGTAAAGACGAGGTGGGAACAGCTGGACAGAACCAGGAGAGACAGACAGAAGGGAGGATGAGGGGATAATGGATCTCATACTGCTCATTTTATAGGGAAAAACAGATTATGAGAGGCCCAATGTTTTAGGAAAAGTCCCCCAGGGGTAAAGGTCTCCTGATTTCAGTTTTGCTGTTTTGGTTTTGTTTCTTAACTGGATGATAAGAGGGGCAAAGGAGCCTTGGTGACCAATGGTCGAACCCACCCCAGTGGTTATATAAAAACAATGCAAACAATAAGGAGGGGAAGAGAAGGGGGAGGGAGGGGAGGCAGCAAACATTTGAATTATGCAAAGTGAACGAGAAACTCATGGGGGCCAGGGACCAACCATTCACTCCTCTAACCCATTCTAATTCCATTAGCAAACATGGACTCTATTTGGTGCCAGAGTCAGAAAACAAGTCCCCCCTCCCCGCCCCATGACTCTGAGGGTAAGGGAGGAGACAGCGGGTCGAGAACTGGTGTCTGTCGTTGTGTAGTGTCCTTAGGCACTTTGCACCATGTCGGCACATCACCTTCCTGATGACCGTTTACCTGGTACTCGGGGTTCGCTGGAGCTGCCTAGAGCTTTGGCGGATCATATCCCCAACGCTCACCACAGCCGTATAAAAGAGTTCTTAATATCTCCTGAACCTCACAGGTGGTATGTGAAGTCGAATGAAGCCACAGAGGAACAGGTTGGAAGCATTTGAGTGCCCATTCCATCAGCTTGTCGCCTAGCTACCCGCACCTGCATGGCCATTCCCCCACTGCTCAGGCCTTCGGTTAGTTCAGCTGCCTGGTCTCTGTCTCCAGAGTTCCACTCCCTCCACCTCAGCCCTCTACCAGCCTTGTAGAGCCCAGAGAGGCCTTCCTGTGCCATTGTCTCCGAAGCCACAGGTTCGAGACTTAGCAGAAGAGCCTCCTGTTAGCACACCAGCCCCACAGGGTAGGGGATTTTATGTTTGTTCAAGGTGATATCCTCGGGCCAAGAACAATGCCTGGTGCATATTAAGGCTCAAATGTATCTACTGACTGATGGGTGAGGAGGTTCCTAGCAAAGTGAGGGCCCCACAGGCAGGAAAGAACTTGGTGTATAAGAAGAATGGGGGAAAACTCAGAGCAGCTGGAAGGAATGAGAGGGAGAATGATGCAGATAGCGGGTAGAGAGAGAGACAGGAGCCAAATGCATTTGGATCTTACCCATGTAGCACCGCGTTCTCGCTGAGGAGTTTAAATGGCGGTAGGGGCGGAAGGTGGTGGGTGTCACATTTGATTTCTGCTTTTAGGTCCCATGCTCCTTTATCTTTCTACAGTTGATTTCATGTTGGTATTCCTTTGCTTAAAATTTTTGGGTATGGAACCCAACTTCTAAAAGATTCATCTCTTTGGTAGTGTCCCATTGTTTGCAGCAAGAAGGCCTCTTGGCAAGTGTCCTGGCCTACTAGGCCCATTGTCTTCTTTTGCACCCAACTATTCCATCGTGTCCAGGCAAGCTCCGTAGACCAGTGTTAGACTCAGAATTCCAAAATATTCTTCAGGTAGTTACTTCTGTTTGGAATGTGTCCACTCATGCTGATCTTTCAGGTTCCTCTCACTTTCAATACCTAGCAAGCTCACAGGTCACTTCTGTGATGCTGTCCCCAACCTCCCCTTCCCAATCCATGCAGCCTCTGGATGGGCATGGGCATCAATCACAGTGTGCAAGTATCTGCTTCCCAACTAGGCAAGGGACATTCTAAGGACGGGAACCAGGCTATTCCTCTCTGATCCCAGTGCCTAGTGCCGTGCCCGGTGCTGATAAGCTCTTAGAGCGTGTGGAATTGGTGAACCCTTTCAAAGCACTCACGTGTGAAGGCAAATTGCATTCCCGTGAGACTGAGCTATGGAGTCACCTCCGGGTGACGCGGCCTGGGAGAAGTTCTGTTGGTTCATGGAACTAGAGCCATGAAGGACAGAGCAGCTCTGACCGAGCCTTTTTCCTAGGCACCACGGAGGGCTGTGACAAGTCCTGGGAGGACCGAGCCTTGGTGGTGAGGTGGCGAAGCTGCTAACCCAAAGGTCAGTGGTCTGAAACCCACCAGCCACTGCATGCGAGCAGGATGAGACAGTGTGCTTCTTCATAACCTTGGAAGCGTCCTGGAGGCAGTTCCGCTCTGTCCTGTAGGGTTGCTGTGAACTGGAATCAACTCGAGGGTGGTGGGTGTGGAATGGGAGTATGAAGATTGAATGAGACATAAATTGGAAGGTACCTAGCACAGACCCTATTGTTGGTCGCTGTCACTGAGACAATGCCAGCTCCTCTCGACTCCATCTGTATCGAGCAGAACTGCAGGTTGTCAGACTGTCTTCCAAGACACCTCTGTGTGGGGTTGAACTGCCAACCTTTTGGTTAGCAGCCGAATGCTTAACCACCTGCACCACCCGGGGACTTTGCACAGACCCTAACACATGTCTACTCCCCGTGTGCTCTTGATTATTGGAACCAAGCCAACTCACTGCCATGGCACCGACTCCCTCTCAGAGTGACCCTCTGGGGTGGGTTTCCAAGGGCGTGAATTTGCACCAGAACAGACAGGAGCGGCTGGGGAGGGGGAGCGTGGGCCTTGCTGGTCGCAGTGCAGCACTTCCCTGACGGCTTCATCCGGGCCCCCAGGTTATCAGAAGAGCAGCGGACAATGGCAGCCATGTGACTGTCCTGCAGGTTGTTTATCTTTTGAATTGAGTATTTCACCGTCTTTTCTACAAGACTGGGCATTCCTAACAGACAACATATTTTCTGAGAAAATTTCATATGCATAGCATGGTTTCCTCCATGTTTTATAGGTGCTTGACACATATTAGTAGATTAATCAATAAGTTATGAATCAAAAGGGTTGTAAAGAATCATATAGATTATGTGGCATTTATTCATTATGACTAAATTTCAATTGTGAAACTAGGAGGCATCCAGATTGAAAACTTTAAATGTGAATATACGTATTGACATAGGAACAGTATAATCATAAGTATTACAAACACAAGCTAAACCTGTTTCTGTTGAGTGCATCCCCACTCACCGCCACGCTAGAGGAGAGGTAGCCCGGCCCACGGGCCTGGCAAGGCTGTGCGTTTTAGTGGGAGCAGACTGCCATGTCTTTCCCCACCCAGCGGGTGGTGGCTTTGAACCGCTGAGATTTGGGTTTGTAGCCGGGCAAGCGCTTAGCCTTTGCCCCACCAGGGACCCGTGCGTATTAGAAAGCCTTATAAAGCACACAAGTAGAGTAGGGCCGTACGCATCTATTTCAGTGTAATTCTAAGTATTACTTTTAAGAGCAGCAAATTCCCACTAACCTCTGTTCCCACAAAGAACTTTGTGGAGAAGTCCTCGATAGGCTTCAGAGGATTGCCCAGGCCCGTTTCCAGGTTGCTGTACAGTTTCACCTCCGTGGCATTCGGGACTGCACTCTGGACTAGCGCTTTCTCTTCCCAGGAGCACAGAGGGAAGAAGCACATGATTACCGAGAAAGAACCTTTACAGAGTTCTTGGTTTCTGCTCCCAGTCAGGCACAGCTGCCTCTACCCTCCCCAGGGCGGTGGGGATACATCCAGATATTTTTAGACTTCCAATTTAGCAGTAGAACTCCTTTCTCAAGCCATAGCTTCTATGGAATTCTCTGTATTTAAAACTCAGCAAGGGGGTACTCTATTTAAAACTGAGCAACAAGGAAAGGGGTTGAATCAATAGTTTAAAGAGCATGAGCCCGAGGAAACTGCTACCATCAACCGTGCCTATTCAGATTTGACTGGAATAACAACTGAATAGTTACTAAATTCCAGATCATACAGAACCCTTGGCAATGTTTATCAGTGATTTTAATCATATAGTAGTACAGTATATGATAAATATAGCTGTGGCTTGCTGAAATGTAGTATATCTTAGATTAGATTAGTAATGGCTTGCTGAAAAGCAGTATATCTTAGATTAGATTAGTAATAACAAGAGTCATCTTGTAAAACTTTCGACTTGGAGTCACAATATTATTACATTTATCATATCGCATTATTTACAACATTACTAGTGATTGAGTGGGAGCCTTTTCTAGTTTTTCTGTACGTAATTCTCCAAAAAGCTATTGACACAGGTTCACAACCCTAATTAACAGAATATTGTCGTCCAACCACCTGACAGTCCGACACAATCACGGATTACAAAGACACTGAGCACACCAAAACAAGAGCCAGTGCTCACAGCGCATGTGCACAAACTACACCACCCCAGTGCCATGTGACCGGGCGATAACCACAGCTCTGACGGTTCCCGAAGGTGCTAAGAAATTCCAGCGTTCAAAAAACAAATTATCACAGAGATTTATCCTTATGTGTATAACAATGCGTGTTAGTTGGATTTACAAAAAGTGCTTTTGTTGTTGTAACGAGCCAGAGGGATATTTTGTATATAAACAAGAATATACTTCCATTGAAACACTGCATAAAAATATCACAGCGACTCATTTTGATGTCGCCCTCTTTGATTGCCACCTGGTATAATCTGCACCCCCTTGTGACAGACAGCACTGGGCTCTAGAGTTCACACCTTAACCACTATGTTTTATATATATA